GAGCTGCTTCCATTTTACGAGGGGCTTTTCAAAATTGTAACATATGAAATCAAGGCTTCAGTGCAGGCTGCGACACGGTACATGCTGACTCAGGATGAATTGGTTTCTCTTCTCTCAAGCTGTGCTTGTGTTCCTGGGGCCTTTAAATACCTGCACTCTGAGATCTACATGGCTACTTGAGTGGTTCACTATAAAGGTTGTTTCACCTGAAGCTGTCTTCACCCAAATACCAGGGGAAAAGAGATGCCACAAAAAGCCTGGGGTGGAGAAGGTACTGTCAGTGCCGGGACCTGCACGTACCATCACATTATGTGCCCGCTTAAGGGAGAGTCTGTAAGTGAACCAAGAGGAGCCATAATGCTGGTTCAGGTCAGCTCCCACTCACTGTGTGGAGAAAGAATGCCCGAAGTGACTCTCCTAGAGGAAAGCCTGGGTTCCAAGTAGGGCTTGCTGAGGCCACAGAAAACAGTCTTTGCCATGGAATTCATATGGTCTCCAGTGGTGTTAGGCTTCAGCATGCACAGAAGGTAGAGAACTATCTGAAACTCTTCTGTGTCAATTTCAAAACACCTTGCACACAGCAAAGTATCTTCTACTTTGACAGCATACACTCTTGAAAATATCACCCAATTTCCTGACCAAAAAAAAAAGTGCATAGAAAAGATGGGAACGTACCCTCCGTGAAAACGTCCTCTTTTTTGTTCTTGCTGAATCCGTATGTTCTCCAATCTGAGTGGACTTGGAATGAAGCCAATTTCACAGCCCTCTTTCACCAGCCTTCCTATCCACCAATCATTGTTATATTTCTGGAATTCAGAAATAAAATTGCTATCAATAGTAATTCACTAATCTTCACGTTGTTTATGAATCTTAGGGGACAAGAAGAATAAAATGCTATTTATACGATATGATATTATACTATATTTTATATAAACTATATTTTATATGTATATGTGTATACTATATTTTATATAAATTATATTTTATATGTATGTGTATACTATATTGTATATACTATACTATATACCATATTTATATAAACTATACTCTCATAGTATACTATACTTTATTTTATATAAACTATATTGTATATGTATATGTGCATATATGTCTATATATCTATACTGTTTTATATAAACTATATTGTATATGTATATATGTGTGTATATATACCTGTACTATATTTTATATAAACTATATATTGTGTGTATATATATGTGTGTGTGTATATATCTCTCTCTATATATCTGAGGTAGATTCATAGACTAAAGCAGGGTTCTGCAAACTTTTTCTGTAAAGGGCCAAGTAGTAAATATTTTAGGCTTTGCCGACCATGTGGTCTCTGTTACAATCAGTTGAATCTGCTGTCCTTGTGTGAAAGCAGCCACAGGCAAACATCAACAAGTGAGCGTGGCTCTGTTTCAATAAAACTTTTCTTTACAAAAAAGGCAGTGGGTCAGACTGGACCTGTGGGCTATAGTTTGTGAACCCCTGGACTAATGTCTGGTCCTAACCTTTGGATTCTTTGGGTCTTTGTCAAGAAGCTCTAACCAATTCTTTATTTATTTATTTATTTATTTATTATTATTATACTTTAATTTATTTTATTATTTTATTTTTTTATTTATTATTAACCAATTCTTAAAGAACATATTTCACAAGGATAAATATGCACCAATGTAATTGGGACTCTGGAAGGCAAGATGGATATGTCTGATATGAAATACATTTAATAGTCCATAATTTGTCAAAAGCTTTCAGGTAAAAACTCCATGATACTATCTGTAGTGTAATCTCACCGGGGAAGAGTCATGATCTTTCAAATATAGATTTGCAAATTAATGTCCAACTTACTACTTGAAGAAAAAGATGCCTACTCTTACAAAGTCTGAGCATATTACATATTTGGATGTGAAATTTTGCAAGTAATTTCCAAACGCTCTGAAGCCCAAGGGGAACTCCAGAATTTCCATTTAAGTTAAGTTCCATGACATGTAAACTCAAGACCCAAGTCTATGCAAAGGCTTCAACCAGTGTGGGGTGAGAGTCTGTCAATGTGGGCTTATTTGGTGGATCAGTAAAATTGCATTTCTAACTATACATTTGTTGAATTATAGAGCAGAAAGCAATTTAGTTCAAGCTCCCTGCCTCAAGGAAAGGTTTCTGCTAGGTCACTTCTACAAAATAGGTATCAGCTCTATTGTTTAAACTCTCCGGAGATGATTCTAAAAACTTCCTTTACTGTTTTTATCAGTGTTGGGCAAGACAATTCTCTCCTACTTTGACCCAAAACATATATATTTATAAACACATATATTTTTTTCAAAATGTAACAATGATATGTAGTTTGTTTTGCTGAGCTCATAGAAAAGTGAAATATATATATGTGTGTGTGTATATATGTGATTCTGATACATTATGAAGGAGGAATGGAAGGTTTCATTGAATTATCATAGCATGAAGTTCTGGGTAAACTTTAAGTTATTCTGAGTAACAGCTTTACACTCATGAGAAATGTGGTCTGGTAAGAATTTGGCCTTTGTTAGGCACACAGCTTCTCCATGCATATTATATGAGTGGCATATAGTATACTGCATTGAAATAAATGTAAATTGAGGGCTGGGCATGGTGGCACATTCCTGTAATCCCAGCATTTTCAAAGGCTGAGGTAGAAGGATCAGTTGAGGCTAGGAGTTTGTGGTCAGTCAGGGCAACATAGCAAGACCCCATCTACACACACACAGACACACACACACACAATTAGCTGGGTGTAGTAGTGTGCCTGTAGTCCTAGTGTACTACACAATTAGCTAGTGTAGTGTACTACACTATTAGCTAGCTATGCAATTAGCTAGTGTAGTGTACTACACTATTAGCTAGTGTAGTAGTGTACTACTAATTACCTAGTGTACTACACAATTAGCTAGTGTAGTGCACTATACTACACTACACAATTAGCTGGGTGTAGTAGTGCACCTGTAGTCCTAGCTACTTGGGAGGCTGAGGCTGAGGTGGGAGGATCACTTGAGCCCAGGAGTTCAAGACTGCAGTGAGCTGTGATTGCATCATTGCACACCAACGAAAACAGAGCAAGACCCTGTCTCCAAAAAAATTAAAAAAGAAAGAAAAGAAATGTGAATTGACGTGATATAAAACCTTGAACAATCTAGGTCTTAGGTGTTTCTCCCCATTTTCCTGTCTTTTATTTTAGTATAACAGGCCTAAAATAATAGGTCTGTTTATTTTGGAATTAATAAAGGGCAAAGGGACCCTTTTAGAATCTTAGGTGCATAGGTCTGGAATTTAAATTTTACTGTGTTGAGGACAAAGCAGACCATGAGTCATAGTTTCCTAGGGCTTAAGTTATTTCCTGAAATGAAGTTAGCCCACTGGAACACTCATTTGTTAAATGGCACCCAAGTGACTTTAAAGGGCTTGCTGAAACGGTTAATGCAACTTCCCAAAATGTTTTAACTTAGTTCTAGGAAACAGCCAAAGCACAGTGAGAATTTGACTCAGGGTGAATGCAAGTTTTTTGAGTTACTAGGGAGAAAGTCACTATGTAAATTCAAGAGCTTAATTTGATCATCATTTGACTTACATGACAAGCATAGTTGTAGCTTTTCTCTGCATTTAAGCTTTTATTTGTTACTGAGAAAGTACTTAACATGGTGCATAATAGATAGCCTTCTAAGTGATGGATGAGAGGAAAGGCTATAACTTGATTATAGAAATGTGTTCATTTGTGTTGATGTTCTGGGAGCTTGTGCCAGCTCTCTACAAAGGTCACCTCGGTGTTGTTCCAACCCTTCTCTATTTGGATTTCCCTAAAATGATTAGCACTTTCTCTTTCAAAGATATTTTCTTATCTGATAATTTCAAGACATAAAAACAGGCGGTTCTGGTCCACATAGGATTATCAGCTCAATGCCACATATCAAACTGCCAGACTGAAGAGAAAATCACTGATCAACAAGCACATAGCTCAAACAGCAGCCAGGACAAATTGAGGCATTGATAAAATGCAGGAAAGCAATAAAATACAAGGTTGGAATGTTGGTGTGAGTGAGTGCACGTGACATGTAAGAACGTCTCTTACCTTTTCAAGGGCTGCTTCTCCTTGGACACAGTGGGTGTTAGCAATTAATGAATATGGTTTGGGCATTTTTGATGGGAATGGTGAGACGTAATCAACTTAACCATTCAGATGCCAGGGCACATGTTTCAGGTCAAGAGTTCTTGTCTTCTAGACAAATGTAGACATCCTCACCCCATGTACCATCAAGAAAGTAGAGGCCATGGTTGAAGTTGATGGGTCCTCAGTTTCTTATTACCAAGGCCCTGAAGTGTCTGTGCCTGCACTCATCTTTTCCCTGATTGTCACAATGAATTAGCATTCTTCTTTCTATCAAAGGTCTGTCCCTCCACTAGGGGTCTTGGATCCACCCTTCTTGGCTACTCAAACACTTTACCCTTTTGCCTTTCTGCTTCCCAGAGTCCTCTGCCCTTTTCTTAGCTGTAAATCTTTCTTTGAATGATTATACACTCTAGTGTTGGTTCCATGGTCAAGATGCACAGGACTATAGTCTACGTGTCTATAATTACAACATCGCCTGTAAATAGTCCCTTCTGGGTAGGTGCCATGCCACCAAACTTACATTTTCCTAAACTGGATCCATACATTTATGGCTCTGCAGTCACAGAAGGGGATTTAAGGTGTCCAGAGGACCATAGAGGTCTGTCGGCAATCCATGCTATAATTTTAGGGTTGACTGTGATTTAACTTTGTAAGTGTGTGATAATGCAAGCAATGATCTCAGACTTCTCAATCTTGATGAAAATGACTAGATTTGGAAGACTCAGCAAATTAAATGAGGTACCGCACTGGCAGCTCCTCGGGTCTCCTCTCTGGCTAGTCTGGCTCAGAGCTGATTCCTAGCTTCAGCTTTTTGGCAGGTGAAGGGATACAGTATGTTCTACATTTACCTCTTTAATGTGTAGAAAGTCCTTAGCATCAAAGGAGATAGCCGTGCTTGGAACAGGCACATCCTCGTCCAAGGCGCCGCAGTAGCTCACATTTGTCTTCACGGCAAATGCTACAGGTTTGGACTAGGGACAGAACCATGGAATAAGGAATGAGGAAGGGAGGACAGAGGAGCATTTTAAATATTGAAACTCTGATCGTACCAGGTAGTAAGAGAAATAACTTTCCAAAGAGGGATCTCAAATGAATTTTACATTCTCAGGCAATATCAAGAAACCTGCAGAGACGACTCTGAAAACAATTCGGTCCTATCAGCCTAATCATTTTTCCTCTCCTGCAATACTTTCCAATATTCCAAATTTTAAAATGTGCTCTAAAGTATTAAGAGGGATAGACAAAGGCAGGGGAGAAGGACAGTCTCTTCTCTAATCTTAAAATCTGTGCTTATTTTAAATGATAACCAATACCTTCTTACCTTGGAATACAGGAAACGTGTGCTAGGTCTTTTTAAAAAGAAAAAAAAAGTGGGAAGAGGATAAAATAGTATTTTTGAAATAGTCCAGATTTGAAAACCTGTGGAATTCTATACAACAGACTATCTGGTCCTTCCAGGGAAAAGAAGGGTTAGTCAGCCTCAAAGCTGATGGGCAGGGCTCTTCACAGATCATCTTCTCTCTAGCTAACACAGCTGGTTTTGAAACTCTTTTTACACAAATGCCTCTCGGCAAAGTGCTCTCAGGCTGGCACAGCCCTGTGGGGACAAGTAAACCACCAACCTAAGCAAACGGTGCTGCCACCCACATTTGGGTGACCACAATGGCCATAAAACAGATTCTGAAAGAAAATTTTATAACAAAAATTAGCCACAGTGAGACACAAGATTCCTGATATTCTGAGCTGCTTTGTTACCAGCTTATGTATTCATGCTGGGAATCTGACTGGGGAACAGCAGTTGAGGCTAGAACCTCACTGATGTCCCTTCACATGTACTGCAAGAAAAGCCCTTTCCACCAAGACAGCACAGACATCACAGGTGTTGAGGCAAATGAAGACACCTAATTTGACTGCATTGTTCTCCTCCCACCTCTTTTTTTTTTTTCTTTCTTTTTTTTTTTTTTGAGACAGAGTCTCGTCCTGTCACCCAGGCTGAAGTGCAATGGCGTGATCTTTGCACTTCTCAGCTCACTGCAACCTCCGCCTCCTGGGTTCAAGTGATTCTCTTGCCTCAGCCTCCTGAGTAGTTGGGATTACAGGGACACGCCACCAGGCCCGGCTAATTTTATTGTGTATTTAGTAGAGGTGGGGTTTCACCATGTTGGTCAGGCTGGTCTATAACTCCTGACCTTGTGATCTGACTGCCTCGACCTCCCAAAGTGCTGGGATTACAGGCATGAGCCACTGCACCTGGCCTCTCTTTTTTCTTTTCTTTTCTTTTTTTTTTTTTTTGGTAGGGTTTTGCTCTGTTGCCCAGGCTGGAGTGCAATGGTATGATCTCAGCTCACTGAAGCCTTTATTTCCTGGGTACGTGATCCTCCCACCTTAGCCTCCCAAGTAGCTAGAATTACAGGTGTGAGCCACCACGCACAGCCTCTCACCTCTAAAGATTTTACAATAAAAATAGAAAAGGGAAGGAATTCACTTTATTTGGGCTTCTGTTTTTTCTTCTTCTAAAAATCAGAAAGACTAAATCAATATACCTTACGAGTCTGTCATGGAGGGCAAAGAGGACAGACTGGCCATGACCTTGTCTTGTATTTTGCCATTGTGCATAAAATGTCAATGGACAAAAGGGGTCTGTGCTTCAAAAAATCAGAAAACAAACAAAACGAAGTTGGAAGCACGCAGAATGGGAGATCCCTAGTGACTGTTCTGGTTCTAACTTTCAACTGTGCAAGTGTTTCCTTGCTGCTTCCTGTGGATGCAGCGATTTCTATGGAGGCCTCTCCTTGTGGAATATCTGAAGGTCTATTTTGGCAATGGCCTTTATTGCTCGTCTTTGCTGCACTTTTCAGAGTTGTTCAAAGTCCTGAACTTCACACTGAACTTGAGGTGGGACACTGAAAGCGAGAGAGAAGAGTAGAGAAACAAACAGGGCGATCCACAGAGCAACAGCACACGTGTGGCCTGTAATAAAGGCTGAGGTAATGGATGAGGAGGGGCCAGGAATAGACAGGGCGAGCTGGTACCTGGTGGGCTCTCTGCCAACACTGGGCATGGGAGGCTTGATATTGCTAAGTTGGAAGATAATCAATAATTCACCACTAAACCAAATACAAAAAGGTGAAGGTTCTGAGGTAATGCCCCTTTGGAGATGTTACTAACCTCAAGTAGAGGTGAAGGGATCAGAGAGCTTCCCAATCTGGAGGCTTATTAGAATAATCACGAAATGATTATTCCAGAAATGTGTGAGGTAGGGGAAGAGCAGCTGGTAGCCACTGAGCAGCGACCCACTTGTGAGCTAAAGAGAGGGAAAGAGAGTCACCTTTGCTCTCTCAAGCTGGATAGCTGCTTGCTGTTCTCTCTCCTGTCGAATTGCTTCCCGGTCCTCTTCCAAAGAGACATCGGAGTCAGATGGCCTGCTTGTGTAGGAATCCGCTGAACCCTGGCAAAGAAAACAGAATAGTTTGAGATGATGTGTAGCTTCTTAAATTGTCACATCCATAACAGTATCCTGGGGCGAGTTCTTTTCATTTGCCTAAAATTTGATGCACACACTCCATGCTTTATTGCAGATATAAATTTAGATGACAGAATATAGTTAAGCATCTGAGTTATTCGGAAAGTAGCAATGTTGTGAAGAAAAATATTTTGACTAGATTAAGCGCTAGGAAGTAAACTGCAATAAAAATTATGTGATACTCAACACCAATTCTTCTTGTTTTTGTGCTATATTAAGCCCATATCACTTGTGAAACGTTAGTTTTCATCCATCTTCTCTTTTACATATACATCTAAAGGAAAAAGAGACTCAGCTTATTACAAAAGATAAATCCTACCTGTATTGGGGCTATGGGTCATCTATTTGTCTAAGATTTCAATATAGTAAAGCATCATCCTACATTAGTAAAATGATTTTCCAGTTTCAGTGTCAACACTATTGAACTCTTTCACTACTAAAACTTCAGTCATTGTCCTGTAGCAGCCCAGACGTGGTCAACAAGAACACTGAGCGGAAAAACAACCTTGAGGATGAAAACAGGGATGTTCTCAGTTGAAACCCACACTAGAAGAGCTATTTAAATAGCACTGAAGGCTGGGCGCAGTGGCTCACGCCTGTAATCCCAGCACTTTGGGAGGCCAAAGTGGCCGGATCACAAAGTCAGGAGTTCGAAACCAGCCTGGCTAACATACTGAAACGCCGTCTCTACTAAAAATACAAAAATTAGCCAGGCGTGGTGGCGGGCGCCTGTAATCCCAGATACTTGGGAGGCTGAGGCAGGAGTGAGGCAGAGGCTGCAGTGAGCCGAGCCATTGCACTCCAGACTGGGTGACAGAGCAAGATTCCACCTCAAAAAAAAAAAAAAAAAAAAAGCACTGAAATCCAGCCTGACTGATGTGGCCAAGTTAAAAAGTCAACCACCCCCTCCATGCCTCCCCCCACAAAAAACCCCGGAGGTTTGTCTTATGGCTGCTACAGGAACATCATCCTTACAGTTTCCTTAAGCTGGCATTAGAAGTTGATATTTGCATAGATGGTAACATTTACACAGCAGAGGTATTGGGAGGACTGGTGTATTTGATATGTTTCATAAATCATGCACAGGTTTTGAAAAACATAGACCTATCCATATAGCTGAGAATTTGCTGTCCACTGGGGGGAAGAAGAGCTTTAAGAAATAGTTGACTGCTGAATCTGGCCCTTTGAAAGTTTTTCTACATGTAGAAATGTTTATTTGTGAATTTGCTGGCTTTAAGAGCAACTTTGTCTCTCAGTAGAGGCCATCATTCTAGCGAAGGTAGCATAGATTTTCCCAGCAGCCTAGAACAAGAACTCCTGGCTAGCGGTTTTATCAGAGTGCCCAGTCAAGCCCTGGTTCCAAATTTCGCCTCTGCAACGTACTGCAGAAAACATTATAGAAGTTACTGGGCCACTCTGAGACAGTCTCCTTGTCTATTAAAGAGGGACACTGCCTACTTACTGAGTTCTTGCTATCACACCAGCATGGGCTAGATACTTTGGACACTCTTTCTCACTGAATCCTCACAGCAGTGGGAAGGCTGAGATTCAAACGCAGGTAGTTCAGCCTTAGAGCCAGCAGATTCACATCCCACACTGAGCTGCATTTGACATTAAAATACCTACTCCAGGACCTGGCACATAATAGGCACACAATAAATCAACTTTTTCATCCTCGTTTCCTAGTGCTGACATTTTCACATTGATGAAAACAGAAAGCATTAATTTCTCAATGATTATATATACACAATAACCCATCTTGAAATGTAGCCATTTTTCTTACTGTATTTACTGCATAGAAAATGTACTATAAACCTGATAATCGCAATGTGTCCAAATCCATGTACTTTATGTAGTGCTTCTGAAAGTGCCCTTTATAGAGGAAATGTATTTGTTAACTGAATTATAATCAAATTCCTCCGTGCAAATCTACTAGGGAAAAATTTTGGACCTACAAAACGAATCAGCGCAGGGTGACTGTTTCATAGACATTCATTGCCTAAAAAGAGAGCTATTTTGAAGTCCTTTAAACCAGAGAGTTCTCTCAGAACACATCTTTTGTCTGAATTTAGGTACACCTGCATAAAATCCAGAAGAAGAGGAAAAAAAAAAACAATATTTCAATTTTTATTTTTCTTCTTCTTTTTTTTTTTTTTTTGTAGAGATGGGGCCTTGTCATGTTGCCCAGGCTGGTATCAAATTCCTAGGCTCAGGCGATCCTCCTGCCTTGGCCTCCCAAAGCGCTGGGATTATAGGCATGAACCACTGTGCCTGACCCAGTGTTTCTAAAATACCTAAGAAAACAGTTTGGAGTTAGTCCTAGGCAATGCTTTGCTGGAAATGTGATATGTGGTGGACCATCCTAAGAGAGTTGGACTGGCTGCTGTGAAGACATTGGGAGTATCAAGTGAGACTATGGTATATAAGTCAGGAAGAAGGCACTTGCCTAGTTTTGAAAACATGTTCTGGGGATGGTTAGTGCCTACAGTTCACAAAAAAAGCAAGCTGCCTGCTGGGGTAGTGAGTCAAGCAGCTGAATACATACTCCACTACTGCCACTAGAAGATAGCTGATTTCCTGAAACTACCTTAACAACTTTTCAAATCCTGGCATTTAATTATCTCTGAGTACACAAGAAGTGACTCAGGGACTCCTACAAATCAACTTTATGTTGAAATGTGAATGACATTGTAAGAGTCTCAAATCTAATAAACTCTACTATGGCCAAATACGTAGAAGCAGAAGTTTCTGTTGACTCCCTGTTTCTAAGGATATTGGTAGAGGGAAAAATAAAGCACTGTGATACCCATTTTCATAATCAGTGTTATATCTTCACAACATTTACTTTTTTTTTTTTTTTAATGTCATCTCCATTGCTTTGTATATGAAAAAGCAAAAGTCCAACATTCAAGAGTCCAAATTTGGCCCACAGACATGTTCTGCGGGCTTGGTACCGGCTTGGTTTCTTGTTTTTATTTATTTTTGGTTTGGTTTGGTTTATTTTGTTTCAACTAGTTGAAAGGGAGTATGAACATATCCCAGAAAAAAAGGAAGGAAAAGATAAAGGAAAGGATCTGTGTTGTTTACAAAGGCACAGAGGGAAGAGCAAGTGAGCTAGAGAGGCTAGAAGGAAACTGCCTGGGCCTGACCCCTGGAAGTATCCAGGAAGGGCAGGTGGCCATGCGAGGCTTAGTAAGACCAGGACAGGTTGAAGAGGCGTCACCCAGATATCTAGTTAAACAGTTAACGATCGAAAAGACAGAGAGATGGCAAGAAGGAAAGAATGTTAGATGCTAAGAGAACACAACTGAAGACACAAATGTTACTAGGCCTGGCCAAAGCTGGAAAGACCTAATGGAAGCCCCATCAGCTTATAATTTTCTAGCATTCTGTTTCATAAAACAGGTAGGAGCAAGCTACCCAATTTATTAAGTGATCTAAAACTGGGCTGTTAACCCACGTGCAAGAAACATGACAGTGACTAGTCCTTCAAAAGCTCTTATGCAGACACCTCTGCAAGTCATACCATGTAGTGATAAAGTCATATTGCAGTGAGCCAAGATCACGCCACTGCACTCCAGCATGGGTGACAGAGCCAGACCCTGTCTCAAAAAAAAAAAAAAGACAGATATTTTGGTCTAGTCTTTTTTCTCTTTAAGGAATCTTCTCAAGTACAAAATGCAAAATGCAGATAGTAACACTGGAAAATCAGCTAGCTGTGGTCTTCTGAGAGAAGGAAGATAATCTTAAGTGAAACAATGCAAGGGCTTCTTCTCATTCACAGAGAGAGGGTGCATGATATCAACAGGACAGCAGCCATGGCTGTTGGAGCCAGACAGTATTGGGTTTGATGCTGTCACCAGTTCTAGTTGGCTGTGAATCTTAAGCAAGTTATTTAACCTTCTGAGTCCTAATTTCCCCTGTTAGAAAATGTAGATAATAATGCACACCTTGTAGAGTTTCCTGGTGTTTGGTTTCAGATGAAACATCATTTCTTTTTCAACATCATGGGGGAAATTTGGAAAATACCAGCAATTAAACTTTGACCCACTAATTAAAGGTTTGGCAGCTTTTTCACATTAAATTTTTGGCTGCCCTAGAGTTTTAGGATTTATATCTTGTTCTTTGTTTAAAAATAGCTTTTTGAAGTATAACTTACATATACATAAAATTCACACATTTTTAGTGTACAATTCAATGATTTTTAATAAATTTACAGAAGACAATTTATATCACAATCTAATAGAACATTTCTAACCCCTCAAAAGAAACCTTGTGCCTATTTGCAGCTATTCTCCATTCCCAGCTCAGGATGAGGCATCTACTTACTTATCTTGTCCTTTTAAAACGGAAATAGACTTTCTCTTTTTATGAGTAATTTTAGTATTTAGGCAAATCATTACATTACAGCAAGGAGAAGCAAGGGTCTACAAAGGTTTGATTTTAAAATGCAACCAGGCCGGGCATGGTAGCTCATGCCTGAAATCCCAGCACTTTGGGAGGCTGAGGCAGGAGAATTGCTTGAGCCCAGGAGTTTGAGACCAGCCTAGGTAACATAGTAAGGCCCCATATCTACAAAAAATAAATTTAAAACAAAATTAGTCAGGCATGGTAGTGTGCACCTATAGTCCCATTACTTGGGAGGGTGAGGTGGGAGGATTACTTGAGCCTACGAGGTTGAGGCTCCAGTGAGCCATGGTCATGCCAAAGCACTCTGCCTGAAAGACAAAACAAGACTCTGTCTCAAATAAATAAATAAATAAAATAAAATGCAATCATACTGGAACAGAATCTTGCCACTGTTGGAAGTGCTGGGCTTCCTAGCCCAACAATCCCAGTCTCTCACAATCTAGCTTAGCTCTCCATTCACTGAACGCTGACCATCAGTCAGATACTAGAGGGGCCACTACACGAGAGAGAACTGC